GGGGGGGGGACGTCTTACGCACTTCATTGCATTTTCTGCTTCTGAGTATGTACCGTTTCGCTCTGTGCTATTTACTTCAACTTGAATATCAGAAGTGAGTTTTCATTTTTGTGTCAAGATATACACGGTTGAGAAGGAACTGCATGCCTGAGTGGTTTCATGTTCTGTCTATTTTCAGACGGATTTCTGGCAATGCATAAGCAGCACTTTACCTGGTAAGCAAGCTATTTTTGTCGCTTCATTTTGTAATGTTATGTCTGTCTTTGTTTTATGTACTTTACTACATTGGCCTAAGCAGTTACCTTTGTTTCAGTCCTATCAACGCTTTTGTCATCTGTTTCTACGTCTTCGAAGCGAGCATATGTATTAAAAGGGAGAAAAAATGCATACTATTCGTATAGCACTTTACTGCTCCTACTTCCTTTGTTCTTTTCAGTGTACGTTTTTTAGTAGTTAATAGGTTTTTAAAACATTGGAGCAGGGTTTTTTCCTAATCCAGGCCGGATATTTTTTTAAACAGATGTCCATATTTCCCCTATCACGGTTGCCCATCGTTTTTAATAGAGTCCTTAATTGTTACTCATGCATTTATGCAGTTGGCTTGCTTTCAAGTCCCATCCAATGTCCGTCGTAATTAAAATACTTAATGGGAGAACGATGTAAATGCCATAGGATGTTTCGATCGTTTGATCATGGGTCTTGTGTCTGCTTTGTGTACCGCTGAGAACGGGGGTGAGTTGAGAAGAGGGGAAAGGGAGGGGAGATGGGGTGGGGTGGGGTTGGGGGAGAGGTGGGACAAGGAGAATATATATATATATATATAATATAAGTTTGCTTAGATGTACAAAGCCGGTGTTTATGGTGTTGTGGTTGGACGATTTGCCTTTGCACTCAGGATATATATATATATATATAATATAAGTTTGCTTAGATGTACAAAGCCGGTGTTTATGGTGTTGTGGTTGGACGATTTGCCTTTGCACTCAGGGGATCCATGTTCGATTCCCTATCGGGGAGAATTTTGATCGAGTACCGGCCTCTCTTAGGTCTGTCTCTGCTCGTCGTACTTGGACAAGTAGCGACCCCGACTGCCTTGGGTGAAGGAGAGGGTTTATAGTGTGGGGTGAGAAATGGGTGAAATTTGAAACTGGGTAGAGAGAGGAATTATGGGGGCGGGGGAGGTGAGATACAAAGAGTAAGGAAACGAAGGTGTTTGGGGAAAAGAGGAAGAGAGAGAGATAGAGAGAGAGAGAGAGAGAGAGAGAGAGAGAGAGAGAGAGAGAGAGAGAGAGAGAGAGAGAGAGGGGGGGGGGGGGGGAAGAAAGGGGGGAATGGAGGGATGGTTGAAGCTGGGCATGCTGGCTTGACATTATTTTGCATCTCATCAACAACCAAGACGTGGCATCAGCGTCTGTGGTATATAATGGTGACGCTCTCCGTAATTTCGGGATAAAGATGTGAGTTTTATTACCGTCTGGAGAAGTTATTTTATCTAGTAGCTTTGTCTTTGGGGATGCTGCGTTCCACTTAGCCTGGATTGTTTTTTTAAGTTTTAGCAGAGTTTTTACGGCGCTCGCAACTGCCTGAGGTCATATGAGCGCCAGAAGATTAGAGGTGTTACAAGAGAGTAACAAACATAAAAAGAAGAAGGAAAGATAAGGACGATAGATGTTTAATAGGAAGGAAGAAGCAGCCTGGATTGGCCCTGACGACAGCAGGGTCGAAACAGCCTACTCCCAAAATTATCTGTTAAATTTTTCTCACGGGTTGCATGAAACATTTACATTCGATCAGTCCGTCTTGGTTCATGGCGCTAAATAAAACTTGAACTGTGAATGAAGGTCTTGGCATGATGAGTGGGTCGGAAAAGGGCGAGGGTTTGGGAAACTGAAGTTGGGAGTGTGTCCTTGTAAGAAGCTGCTCTCTGTGTCGGTAGCTCGGCTACCCGCGGTCGTAACCTTGTCCGATTGATAAATGACTTGGGGAAGAACTCGCCCAGGCTTACCTTTATTTTCTTCTCTTTTTCTCTGTCCTTGTTTCGCTTTATCTCCGGCCCGGGTGATAAATGACGTTACCGAAACCCAAGAATGCCGAGTGATCCAGGAGTATACACTGCACCTCCTTTGCTCTCTGATTACCTGGAAAGCCATCCGTTTTATTGTGCAAAGGGGGGCTGAGAAGGAGATTCTCCGCTGAAATTTCGTATCGTGTGTCTCTCTCGGGTTTTTTTTCCACAAGTACTAGTGTTGGTCGGGCTGAGAACCGTGTTCTACGTATAAAGCTCAGCTCTCATGGCAGGGGCTAGAGGCTATATATAATATGCTCAGATGGTCTTCAGATTTCGCCACTTGGAGAGCTAGAAATGCTGCCGATTCATTTAAGAAGGAAACAAAAAAGATCCGGCTTCCGTAAGCGAAGACGGCACTGCTTCAGATGTGGGTTTCAATGTCAGGAATTCTATAAAGACATATGAAATGGCAGGAATTTTAACCCATTGCTCCTCCCTCTGCATTCTCTCCCCTCCTTACCCACCCTACCCCTCTGTCTGTCTGTCTGTCTGTCTGTCTGTCTGTCTGTCTGTCTGTC